CACACACACACACACACACACACACACACACACACACACACACACACTGCTGGGAGACTACTGACTGTTTAGGAACCAGGTCGAAGCGCATGCAGTTGAGGAGCTGGTCCTCTTCCAGCATTACTGCTGCCAGAGGATACATCTGCTCCATGTCGAAGTGGAACTGAACACCGGCAGGAGGGTCACGCAAGAAATTTCTCTTGTCCTAGAATCAGCAGCCAGAGAGCTCGGTTTCAACAACAAGTTTGTACAAATGCTATCCGGGGACAAAGAGCGATAACGTCACACACACGTGTTGACACATTCATTTAGTGCATGAAGCCTTTTGCTTACAGCTGACAGGGCGAGGATCTGCTGCTGGATGGTCTCCTCCTCGTTGTAGCCGACCCACGGAGGCACCGCTGCGTCTGGACACAAACATCAACACACACACACACCTTCAGTGGTGCTGCGACACTAAGTATATTAGATCATGGGAGAGGTTTTTGAGCACTCTCTAGTCTTATCTCTCACTGATCTCGCTCTCTATCAATACGGTATTGCAAGGTTGCAGATTGAAACGGTGCAATTCACCCTTTCACCCTACAGCGTAGCTGATAATGATGACGGAGCAGCTGATAACAAGCTGTACATTTCAAATGTCTATTTTTCATGTGCATTAGTCTTCATTTGTGTTACTGTTTATACTTTTACTACATTGAACCCATCAGTTTGTAAGTCCCAGTAAAGCACCACCCTGTATATAGAGTGCTATACAAATAAAGTCTGATTGACTCGTTGAGCTGGACTTTTTAATGATCATGTTATTATTGCACGAGGTGGCGTAGCTTGCTGCAGTGTCTTTTAGAAACAGTGCTGCACTTGAATGGCGATATAGCTGCAGAAGTTGACGCCAGCTTGGATGAACAGCGATTACAATGGACTCTAATGCTGACATACGTAATGAGCTGTGAAAAATACAAATCCTCATCAAGTCAACACAGCTGCATTAATAAGCTTATCATACAGCAGGATTCTGTTGGGTTTAGATGTGGCCTCTCCCTTATTGTGTGAGGTCCACTTCTCTTGCTTCATTACAGACACACTCCCACTGTTTCTAGAAGGCCTCAGTAGTGTCTCTCACACAAAAATACAGGATGTGTGAAGCAAGCGACTTAATCAGAAGCTAGTTTGTCCTGTGAAGCTTTCACGGAATAAAACAAACATTTATAAGAGAGGTTACTCTGTAAATAGTTGATCGTTTATTGTAAAGAAGATTCCCGTCTCCTGATTCTGAATTTACCAGATTTTTTGGACTTCTTCTCTTGGACGAACTTCTCTTGCTCCTTCTGAAAGTCTCCCAGGAAAGTCTGCAAACACACACACACACACACACACACACACACACACACACAGAATAAGAGGAAAAGACCTGTGGGAGACATTTCTTATAGAATGTTGTCATGCTAACATTATGGCATGATGACCAAACAGCTGCTCTTGACAACAACAGACCACAGAGTTGCCTCCAACATGCTGCCAAACTTGTCAAACAACACCAGCATGCCTTGTCTATGATGCCGTCGATCTTCCCTTCTTCCACCGTCTTCTTGATGGTCTGAGCGGTCTCCACCACCGACTCGGAGATTTTCTTGGTGGCACTGGACGCGAAACTGAAGATGTAATCTTCAGAGACGAGAGGACAGCGTGGGTGACAACAACAACACCACCATCATCATCATCATCATCATCATCATCATCATCATATAGCGGGACTATTGCTAAAAAAAACATTGCTACAATAACACAACACAAATCTATCAGGAGACAGCTCCTCCTCTTGTTAGCACTGGACAACAACGCTGAAGAGGAAACCTTAGCTACATTCCAACAGAATTAGAACAAGATGGGGAAAGCTTTCACTAAGAACTACAATATGTTTGGTTTAATGGGGGTCTGCTGAGCTAACATAGACAGACAGATGATTTATGCAACCACATCCTCGAGCCAATGAGAAGCATTTAGCTCATTACTTAGCTTAGCTAGTTTTAGTGGAACGCAGTTTCTTTCTTACCACCAAGTCCTTTCCCGTGCTCGGAGTTTTCTTGGTCCGCCTCCGGTTCTCCGTCCTCGTCAGCTGGCTGCTGTTTGTTTACTTCGTTCTGGGCTTCCACCACCTTTTTTTCTTGCTCCACGACACTCAGGTTTTCTTTTTCGTCCGACGTCTTCGTGTACGTCTGGCTCTCCAGACCCAACCACGTCCCGAACCCCCTGAACATGTTGCTCGGAATAAAATGACAAGTTTTAGCTTTGAAGGTGCGGAAAAGCGACAATCTCAACAGAGAGTGATTCTTGACTCTACGCAACCAGGAAATAAACGGGCAGGTTGTCTTCTTCTACGTTTTGTTTTGTGTAATTCGAGTTGTGTGTTACTGCCACCCAGTGGTCAGAGGAGCGGAGTGATGCCTTCATGGGTCCTCTGGGTCAATGGGTAAACGTCCGTGGTTGGTTTTTGCCATAAATGCGACTTGCTGCATACTCGGGGTTTTTGTCGGATAATTTGACAAAATATAATAGATAGATAGATAGATGTATACTTTATTCATCCCCAGGGGGGAATGTGTTCAATGCAAAACAAATTATTAATTTGGGCAATATTATCACATAATTATTTATTACAGCAAACCCCACTCACTTTTTAAAACATAAAAAAACGTTTAAGTGGCATAATATCTCAAAGTATATCTGAAATGGGACATAGCAACGACTGTTGCTATAATAGTAATTGTTACAATAGTTATTATAAAAGACCAAATGTGTCACTTGACCAGCAGGTGGCGGTAAAGAGCTCAGAACAGGTTTGTCATCTCTTGTAACACAACAAGAAGAGGAGGAAGACAGGAGCGGTGGACTCATGTCAGAACAGGCTGGGGTCAGTTTTGCCGTGGATGATAGTTTTACCGAATATCTTAAGAGTTATATCTGAACCTGGGGTGTAGTCAAGTACAGCAATCTGTAATTCCGGTTATTATTCTCACTGAGCCTGATCTGAATTGTTAGAGCACAGTTTCAATGGAAGGATTTCCGGGGCTGCTAGGCCGTTTACTTGTACGAAGTTACACCAGACCTCTTACAAAAAGCTGTCATTTGAAACACAGCGAGCTCAAACTTGACTTTTTATAGTTAAACGGAAATAATTTAAAACATCTCAGCATTAACTGAGGTGTTGGGGTACAATCGGCATGCGTAGGAGAGCGATTTATTGAGATACAACAGCTGTTTTTTTTGTGCTCCGTCACGGTGTGTGCTGCTCAAAGATAAGATGGTTGAGCGTAACAGACGGAGCAGCTACGAGTAACATTAGATCATCATAAACTTACTAAGCCGTGGCCTCATGTCACGACTAGTAATACCGCTCAATGTAACGAAAATGTCAGATATTTATGATCATATTAATAGCTGCGCCAGGTCTTATTGTGCATTTTTCTTGTTTTGAAACAGATGTATTTTTCCAGGTGAAACATGAAGACTCTGATGGTGTTCGATTTCGACCACACTGTGGTGGATGACAACAGTGACACTTGGGTGATAAGGTAAATAACATATTGATTGAATCCATAATTTAAGCATCATACAAAACACGAGTTGGGCACTTTTTAATGCTGCAAAATGTATACAAATCTATAGTAGTACCACAAGACTGTTTGATACGAGTAGAACAAAATACCACACTGACAGGATAACTGTACAGTAAAGAACCACCGATGAAATACAATTTGCTATGTTTTAATTACAAGCGACATCTGCGGATCTTTTTTGTTTTCTCTCCTCCCAGATGCCTTCCAGATCAGACTCTTCCGGACTCTGTGGAGAACTCCTACAGAAAAGGCCACTGGACTGAGTTCATGGGCAGAGTGATGAACTACATAGGTGACAATTCATTATCCTGTTTGTAGGCTGTTCATTTAATCGCACATACTTAGAATCTGCAAAGATCTGTACATTGACATTTCATTGCTACCACGAGCTTCTTACTCTTTTTTTATCTGTCCACCCAGGAGACCAGAAGGTCAGCCCCGACAGGGTCCGCAGTGTGATGGAGACCATCCCCTTCACCGCTGGCATGACGGACCTGCTGACGTTCATATCCGATCACAAGAGCACCATTGACTGCATCGTCATCTCTGACTCCAACACCGTGTTCATAGACTGGATCCTCCACGCATCTGGACTCCAGGCAGCTGTTGACCGGGTCTTCACCAACCCGGCTAAGTTCAACGAGCTCGGGTACATGGAGGTGCAGTGCCACCACTCTCACGACTGCGATCGCTGCCCCGTCAACCTTTGCAAGAGAAAGGTCCTGGAGCTGTACCTGTCGGAGCAGTGCGATGGCGGCGTGGAGTACGAGCGGGTGCTCTACGCGGGCGACGGCGGGAACGACCTCTGTCCCACTTCCTGTCTGACGGGGCGTGATGTCGTGATGCCCAGGAAGGGGTTCACCCTGGAGAAACTGCTGGCCAGACTGGAAGACGACGCGTCTCTGAGGGCTAAAGTCATTGTGTGGAGCAGTGGCACTGACATCCTCGAGGAACTGAAAGCAAGTATGCAGTCGTAGGCGGGGCCATGGAGCACGATACTTGATCAAAGTCTCAGTTGCAACTTGAAACTGAAATATTGCACTTGCAGTTAAAAAAAAACTAAACAATTGACTGCCAAGAGAGTATTTATATTTTTTAAAGTACAATTCTGTTGGTATAATTATATAAAATTAGGTACAAATCCTTGACAGTAACAGCCCCCTCAAACAAGTTTGGACTCTGAGCTACAGTAAAATATTTGCCTTTTATTCAGATGTGGTGGCATCTGTGCCCAATTACAATACAAACACGGAACCGAAGCAATGTTTACATTCAGCTGAAATTGGGGGATCAAGGTTTACAGAAAAGCCCCAGTACGAGACAGCAGGTTGACTGGAAAGACAGTTTGTGTTGTGATGGCAACTAGCTGTCGAGTGTTCGTGCTAAACTAAGTTAATCGATCTCCACATTTATATGAGAGACACGATCGTGGTACGGATCTTCTCACTTAAAGGCGCTTTATGTGATATTGAGAGCGCATCTATTGCAACATGGCGACGGCTGAGCTGGCAGCTTGCAGCTAACAGTGCTAACTACGGCAAACAGAGCTGACAGTGTTTACCTGAGGGGGAACCGGAGGGAGGGGGAGGGGGAGTGCCACGCTTCCGTTATGGACTGTAACCGCCGTAGGAGAGCAGTGCTACGTTTCAAAGCAACGAGAAGCTCGGACAGCAACACGCGCTATATCTTCACACAGCGAATAGTTGTTCGCTGCTGCATTAATGCTCTGAATATCGAATAGAGAACCTTTAGCGCTGGGCAAGAAAGCAAATCATTGCATTTCCCAAAATATTATCCCTTAAGAGAATCTTAACCCCAAGTATCACCTGTTGTTACCATCTTCCAACCACATTAAAACATACTATTTTAATCCTCTCCTTCAGCACTTCATGTCATTACCATATGTTCATAAGTACGGGTTTATAACTATCAGTTATGATATATGATGTGGCAGCACTTCAGCTAACTGATTTGCTTTTAAAAACACTTTTAAACACCGTGTGACTCTACCCATGTACCAGCATATATTGTATTGCAATAAGCCTTTTTTATTCAGGCAGACAGTTTGACTCGTCGTAGTAGGAGAAGCACAGGTGACACTCTTTAGTGAGGCATGTCACTGACAGTGAGCCATAATTCACATTCATTCATTTGGTAATTCTTTCACCTCTGCTTTCCCCACTGTGACATGTCGAAATGTCTTCAGCGAATAAGGAGTGTAATAGTATAGCTAATAAATCTGATGGAGTCTGGGCCAGGAGACAGCATTTCAAACACAACACCTCCACATTCATTTACCTCAGTTGCACAATATTCTGTCAAGATTACTTCAATCCATTTAGTCAAATCCATTGTTCATAATATGTCAAAGTTGTCTCATGTTACTTAATCAAGTGAAAAAATGAACTTCCCTGATACTACAATTTTAAAGATCATCATGCAGTAATGGAACACATATTGAGCCTCTTAGGGATCACCCATAGTTGTATTTTGGATTATATTTTTGCTCTTTGTATAATGAATCCAAAATGTGCTGCTCTGAGATTGTGAACATTTCTTCCCTCCGGTGATGTTGAGTGTTTGATATCTCAGCTCTGTGGTTTGTAGTCCTACACGTGACGCTATCTTGATTGTTTGAACCAGGTTTAGATGAACTGATCATGTTAACGCTGAGTTGGCTCCATTGAATGGCTTGAACCTCAATTTATTATTTAAGCTCAATGAACAAAAGTCCGAACTGCTGTTTTTAATCCATCAATGCTTCACACATTCAGTAATATTAATCAGATGTATTCAAAATGATCCTGGGACTTGGTCCATATATACCAGCGATGCAACATGTGAAATGTGATTTGTTTATTCTTAATCTTGTGATTCTAATGATGCAATTAAAACCAGAAACCTCTTGGATTCTTTCCCCCCCTCATGTCTTCATAGAACTGTGTTGTGGGGGGTTCGGTTGCATGAGTCAATATGGAAATAGTTCCATTTTTTTCTTTGTGTAAATAAATGGAGTGGACAAAATACTAGAAATATACAGTATATTGGCCTTTATTAATCAAAAAACCAACTAAGTATCCAGTCAGTCATCTGTCAACGTGCTCTATCCTCTCAGCTTCCCCAGATGATAGCCATAGCTGATACAATCACCAAATATACGTATATATACACATATCATAGATACACATATTAAGATAAAGGAAAGGAACAGGAGGTAAAAAAAAGTGTTACTATGTTAAGAATTCGAGTACACTTTTACAAACCATAGAGTACTGTACTGTACTGCTAGTGGTTCTGTGAGGCTGTACCACAGACTGTCTATGAAGATGGACGTCATGACCCTCTCGCACTAACAAGCTGCGGTCGTGCTCGGCTCTACTGCGCAGACTCCGGCTCCAAATGACGTCAACAGGACAAGATGTCCCGTTGTATTATTTACCATCTCTGTTTAGCATGTTAATATTTTCTTATTAGCACGAAACACAAAGTACAGCTGAGGCTGATGGGAATGCCGTTGGTTCTGCTGGTATTTAGTTTTAAACCGAAATATGAAACAAATTTATATTTTGACTTTATGACGGCCAAAGCGGCTGTGTTTCATCCTGAAGGAACCATGAAATTGTGTGTCAAAGTTCGTGGTAATCCATCAAATAGTTACACACACGTTTGACTCCAAACATGCAGCTGTCAACCTCATGGTGGCTCAGGGGATTGGCAAAAGTATTTTGGGTTCATCCTCTGGGAACCATGACTGTCTGTAGAAAAGGTTACGCTAATGCTTCTAATAGGTGATGAGATATTTCTCAGCATAAGTAAACTACTTTGATCTGCTGGTGGGACTATAACAAGGTTCAGGGGATCACCAAATTCAGTGGGCTTCATCCTCTATGATGAGAGATAAATAAAAAAGAAATGTATGAAACTTAGTGACGGTTCATCCTTTTTTTAAATATAATCATTATTAGCTTCTGTTTTACACCCAAACTTCAGCCAATGGTTAAGAACTGATTCATCCTCGCCTTTCAGATGTGCAGATACATCCTCTAAAGATGCAAGTATATATTTCTTCCCGAGGCTGTCAGAGGAAAAGCATCAGTGGATTGGCACAAATGGAGGGGGATTTGAAGACGGATTTGGAGAGGGATGCAGGCCAACAACTCACAGAGACAGCTCTTCCTAAGATCTAACCTGGTATTATGATCCAAGACGCAGCAGGCTTTGTTTACTTTCTGGATCGCTCTTCAGTGGGAAGCAGCTTTAGATGAGGCTCGCTGTATTAAAGGAAGATGCTTAGTTGCATAAGTAGCAGCCATGCTCAACAGTGAGGCTGTCAAACTGGGATACAAGTCCTGGAAGTTCGGACTAGTTTACTCCGAAAGTTTGGTGTTTAGGCTGGAGGGAGGGCTCGGAAACAGCTGGGGTCTGTGGATGACCGGAGATTTTACTCCATCATATTATCAGTTGTTTATCTATGGCTACCGTAGGTAAGGGAGTATCAGTCTGTCTGTCTATCTAGTAGTAGCCTCAATAAACCAGCATGCAATGCAGCTACAAGATATGTTAAGGATGTATTGTATTATATTATAAAAAAATGAAAAACATTTATATCTCAGGAGCTGTGGGCAAAAACACAAGCTGAGTGCAGGAAATCAAGAACAGCCAGGCTTACAAAAGCAGAATGTACAGTGCTTGTGATGACCCTCCTGGGTGTATTGTGGGCCCACCTAAAGTCTGTCATTATTGTGCAGTTGTTGAAACCTTTCACTAATGGGCGTCCATGTTTTTATTTCAAGGCTGTTTTAACCTGAGGTCTATAATGATCCTGTTCATGATTCATTTTGAGGTCTGTTGGTGAGGAGCCCCACAGTTGTAATACTTTCATATTTGTCTGCTTACACCATGCGTATGTATGTGTGTAGAGCTGCAACACTTTGTTGGTTAATCGATTAGCTACATTAAGGATGTCACCTTGGACTGATGAAAATTGTGATGGACATTTTCCATGATTTACTGACAAAACTGAAAAAAGAAAAACAGATTTAAAACTATAAAAGCAACAGGAAAAGTTCATAGATAAAGCTGATTCCCAATCTCATTCTAGACCAATTGTTGTTAAAGTAGGCTTCAAATCGTCCTAAGTAGACAATATGTTACGTAAATATATCTACTTGAAATAAAGTCAATTAACACCACCGGTATAGATGAAATCATCAGCTTATTCTTTACATCTAGATGTGACTAAAGCTTATGTTTCAGGAGGAATAAGTGCAACAATCAAACAAGCATTTTATTTTGAAAGTCATGACCAGGAGTTATTCTGGCTTGCTAAACAGTGGCCTCACGGATGATCATGTGTGCAGTGCTTTTCTACTAAAGGCAGAGTGACATCACCAGAATTAAAAGCCATGACTCTGAACAATAACTCTCAAAATTCTGTCCCGATTATTCTCCACTGAAAAAGCATTTAAATAGCTATCTGAGCAAATTATTTTGAAAATCATTTCAACTTTAATGGTGGACTATGTTGATCAGGCATGTCATGGTCATTGACCATTCACATTGAGGAAAACTTTCTCTCACTTAACTCCAGAATGTATTTTACTACAAAGTTCATGATCAATGAGTTACAAAGTATAATACAAGAAGCAGCATTGTAATTTTGCATCACTGGGCTCATCAATAATATTATTAATGATCTTATGTTTTTCCCATGTGTTCATAATTTAAGAGATGTTCGAAGGAAACCAGATCTATAGGAGAAACTCAACACCATAATTTAACACCACAAACGATGCATGTATTATATCACCATAACACAATTTATTATGCATGATGTGATGATAAATATTTAAAGGAGCAGTCCTTGATTTCAGCGGGCAACTGTCTCATTTGCAAACCAAACTGAAGAATGGGGTAAGAGACCTTGGGGCCACCACAACAACTTACATTCCTCTTTTCTGATACATTTCATCATAGAGAACCCCAGAGACGTCCTCGTTACAACTTACATGCAGAACAAATGCAGCTTTAAAATGTATTCCTCATGATCAAACTGACAAATAAATATCTGACATGCCACTGTGTCAAAACTTTGTAATGCACAGACAGACTACAGGCGCGTCACCCAGAGGACCCCAGGACCTCTACGTGTACGATTCCCAGGATGTGAGCCACCCTGAGGAGGTGCTGGACACCCTGAGAGGCTTCTACTCTTACTCTGAAGGCCTCTTCTCAGATATCGCCCTGCAGCCCTCTGAAGGCCAGATCCTACGCCGCCACAAGAAGGCGCTCTGTGCACGCAGTTCATACTTCAGGGTCTTCACGCTCACAAGGGAGAGGACAGCCTCGTCGGGTATGCACGAGAATGAGATAGAAAGGGAGGACTCACCGTGGATGGATCGTGCCAATTAATGACAGTGAAGCACTCATGTTCGATGCCCCACTGCCATCTGCAGGCAATCAGCACTGACCCACCTTGAGCATCAGCATCAACCTAATCAAGGACCAGTCGAGCGTCTGCCTTGTCTCATTGTGAAAGCAATAATTAATACTGAAGGATGACATTCCTGTATGCAAATGCACGAGGACGACTGACTAAAAAGCACTTCGGGCAATGTTAAGTGTATGAACAAGAAATATTAATCATGACAAAATTATAACAACAGCTAGCAGGAGATTCGTGTTATGGCTTATAGCATCGACAACTCCTTGTCGACATTTAGTTGGAAGACATACATGATTTAAAATGGCAAGTCAGTCAAGTGGACAACCTCGGTTCAAGTTCCTGAGCTGTACTGGCTTTTAGATGGACATTCAAGCCCAACGGAGCTGTAGTCGGGCTCTCCCTCACCTCTGACCTCCCTGCACAGGAGGAGGGAGGAGAGAATAGGAGACAAGATTCGTCGAGGGATGAATAAACGATCACAAAATCCACCGAAACGTGTTTTGCCAGGGTCTTGTGTTCTGCGTGACCAAGATGGTAATAGTTGACAGTGGAGATGGATCATGAAGTCCCCCATGATCAAATTACTGTTGCAGAACCCTCAAGCGTTCTTTGTAACCTTTACAAACTGACCACAGTGTCACACGACTTGTCCCGTCAAAACAAGATGATACTCTTCCCTTGCTTCGTCCTCACTCTGTCCTCACACTCTTTATGAAGTGTGAAAAGTGCCACCTCTAACATATAGAAGGTGACGGAGGCAATGCCGAAAGATATGTACGTCATCAATAAGTGAGTTGTCAGACTTTGGCCTATAGGGAGTGTAAATGGTATGTGAGCTGCACATATACATATATATATATATACATATATACACACACATATATATATATATATATATATACACACACATACATATATATATACATATATACATATACATATATACACATATACACATATATATATATACACATATATATATATATACACATATACATATATATATATATATATATACACATATATATATATACACATATACATATATATATATATATATATATATATATA